CTGCCCCGAGCAGTGGGGAGAGGGCGGGGCCGGGCGGGGCCGGAGCGGGGCTGGGACTGGCGAGCGGGCCGACCCGACACGGACCCGGGAGCGGGCTGCTGGGGGGTTGGGCACTGGGGGTCGCGGGGACGAGGGGGCGCCGCACGTCCGAGGGGCTGCCTTCCCCCGCCCCCCTCCAGTGCCCCCTGCCCTGGCCCGCGCCTGGATCTACCCCCCAACGTTTTCAGTGTGTGGTCTCCCCGACAAGAAACTCCCCGAAGCTCCCTGAGGCTCATCCTCGCAGCTGGAACTGCGAATCAGCTCATTTTGCAAGAAGGACCAAGAAGTTCAGAAAGCCGCTGGGGGGCTTGGGTGCTGGGGCCGCGACCTTTAAGTTTTCTCTCAACCCAGGCATCTACACTTCAAATCCCAGGCCCCAGGCTCCTCACTTGGTTCCCAAGCTTCCTGCAGCCGCGCCCATTTCTCGCCTCCCCCCTTTCGGAGGGCGCCCCAATCCCTCCCCCCACAAAGAGTTAGGGTGCCCTAACCCCTGGAGTTAGGGTGCCCACGTGGAGTCACCAGTGCCCCACGCACCACGGTGCAGCTCCCGCCGCTGCAGCGACACGGGAGTCAGGCCGGCAGCCCTTGGCGGAGCAGAGCCGGAGGCCCACCTTCCTCTGAGGACTCCGGAGGGAAGCGGGAGCTCCAGCCTTGCCTCCACCTACCCACTTCTTATCCGAGCGCCTCCCCCACCGCCCCACTTGCAAGGACGCTATTTCCAAATTTACTGCCATTTCCCACAGCTACTTCTAACTCCATGAGATTTTATTAACCGTTTAATGATGGGGTGCGGGGGGGGGCCTTCCACACTCCCATTCTCTTCTCCCCCACGAATCCTCTTATCCTCCCTCCTAGGTAGCCACCCACTACCCACATCAAGGCAGTTTTCCTTCCTTCCCAAATGCTGAGGAAGGAAGACCCCAGGCTGGGGCCCAGAGAAGACCTGGCTCCAGGCAGGAGCACCCTCCTCACGGCAAGATCATGAGTGGGCTGGGGCTGAGACCTGCGGCCCTGTCCTCTGAAATGGCAAACATGTTTACAAGCTAAAAATACCCAGCAGTCAACTCTGCTGCCAGCCCTGGGGGCTGTGTCCCAGGTCCAGTTACCAGCACAGGCCATGGGGGAGGGAAGACACGGCCAAGGAGCCATCGCTGTGCAGAGACTCACACAATGGACGCGGAGAGGTGGAGACACATGTGTAGACATTCAGACAGGCATAGACATGCAAAGACAGACAAAGCAGAGACTTGGGCACCAGCATTCTCTCTCTGTCTCTCTCTCTCTCACTCTGTCTCTCTCACTTGCTCCGGTGCGCAAGTGCGTTCTCTCCCTCCCCCACACCGCACCCCCCACCTCTCTCTATCTCTCTCTCTCTCTCTCACACACACACACACACACACACACACAGGCACCCAGATAGGGACTCAAACCCACAGCAGAGGCAATGGCAGGCACACACATCACAAACCCAGGCTTTCGAAAGAAGCACCTCCTCCATTGTGTTCTGTACCCCTTTTCTAGAACCTTATTTTTTTTTAATCTTTTTTTTTTTTTAAAGATTTTATTTATTTATTTGACAGAGACAGAGACAGCGAGAGCAGGAACACAAGCAGGGGGAGTGGG